GTTAGGGGCAGAGTTGGGACTACACCTCAGTCGGTCCTGGCAGCTGCCTTGTGTCAGTAGCTGGGGGCTGTTCAGTGAATGGAAGCTTGGGAGTCCAAAGTCTACTCTCTCCTGGATGGTGTCGGGGTGGAAGAGAGTGTGCCCAGTCCCCTGACTCTGCCACCTGCTGGGCAGCTCAGAACCAAGCATGAGGGAGGGATGTGAGTGGGCCCACGTCTGCTGTGGCACCGCTCAGTCTGCCTCTCTGCCTCTTTCCCGTGGGTAGAGGACACTCAGGAAGTCAGGATGAGTTGGCAGCCCTTAAAGTAGTTCCCATCTCCCCTCTGTGCCCCATCAACAGGGCACAACCGTCAGCTCTGCCCCATGCCCAAACTAAGATCCCTGCTGCAGTAACTGCCAGGGCACAATCAAGGTCTCTGTTGCCCAGCAAGGCACCCAGATCCCAACGGGAGCTGACTCCGAAAGGCAACCAATGACTCCATCTCGAGCACAGTGGAGTACCCAGCAAGCTCCCAGCCTGCTGCCAATGCAGCACCACCAGCACAAGGCCCGCCCACCACGCGCCAAGTCAGCAGAGAGCTGGAGGTGGGCTTTCCCAGGCAAGGCTGGCACTCCCTGCCGCCTCCCCCTCCCTCTCCTGCTTCCTCCCTCGGCCACTTGTCTTGGCCTGACCCTTGCTTGTATCTTATCAATCCACCCTTTATGCTGGGGGCTACTGGGCAGGCAGGGAGCCGTGTTCTCTGGGGTTCTGGAATAAAGGCGTCTAAAGAGCTGAGGCAGCCACTCAATTAGCTGGGAAGGACAAAAACACAGAGCAGGGAGCGGGAGGCTGGGCCTGTTTTCTGTGGTCTGTGGGAAAGGCTGCAGGAAAGGGGCTGATTGTGCAGATGGAGGAAGAGGTGGTTCTCAGGCCTGGGACAGATCTCTGAGAACGGTCCTGCAGGGCACCGACCCCAAAGGCCCTCCTCCAAAGGCCAGGCAGGGACCAGCCCCAGGAGGGCTCCTCTCTCCACACGGAACCCCGTACTGAGGGCCAGCCCAATGCAAGGCACTCTTGGGGATACAGAAGAGGAAGAGGCCACATTGGCTTCAGAACATGACGAGAGATAAGGGCAAAACCTCGGGCAGTGCCTCTGTGCCCGAGTGGAGAGGACCCTGCCACTGCCACTCTCAGCCTTCTCCATGGGGACTCAAGAGCTCAGAGTTCTGGCCACCAGAGCAGTGTGACCCTGGGCAGATCCCTGGTCTCCCTGGGCCTCAGTTTCCCCATCTGAATTACAATGGAGATAGACAAGATGTTCTCTACATGCCCCTCCATGGGAATTGTTTTAGCTTTCTGATCCTGCCTCCAGAATTCCACTTGTCCAGGCCTGGAGGCCTGGACCACTGCGGTAAGAGATCCAAGACGGGCTTTGCCTGCCCCTGTAAAGGTGACCGGGCTCAGGAGGTGCGTAGGAGACCTCAGGCTGGGTCTCCATCTGCCAGAGAGAAGCCAGGTCTGAGCCAGATCTGGGTAAGAACTTGGGCATCCCACCCAGGTGCCCCACATGGCAGGGTCCCAGGCGGGGATGCCCAGGCAGTGTCTGAAGCTTTCCAGGCAGAGGTTGCATGGGTGCCTTAGACCTCGTGAAAAGCATTTCTCTAAGGACCCCCAGAGGTTTCGCTGGTTTTGGCTGGCAGGGCTGGGATTACCACCTGTTTCCATATCATGGAGAAGGAATTACCTGCACTCATCCACTCTGACCCTTCGCAAGCCTTTCCTGCGAGCCCCCACCCCCACCCCCATCAGAGGCTGCGGGGACAAGCAGGTCCTCTGCCTCCCACTGTCCCAACGAGCTCCTCCTGCTACCCGGCCTCAGACTGTGAGCTTCTTGAGGACAAGGGTCGTATGGGGCCTCTTTCCGGCTCCTCCAGCCTGAAACACCACCCCCTGTGACATTTGGGAAGGGTGGGAGTGACAAACAGAGGGAGGCCCAGCAAATCCCTTGACCCACAAAGGGCTTCACTGGGCTGGAGACCAGTGGAGCTGAGCACCTAGCTTCCCAACCACAAAAGCTCCCCAGGGGGTGTGGAGTGTCCTAGGAGGAGGGGTGTGGAGCCAGCCCTGGGCAGCAGCTCCAGCCGTCTCGCCTTGGCAGGTGCCCCCCCCCATGCCCTCCCCTCTCTGTGGCCTTGATGCTGCTACCTTTCTCCACCAGGGCTTCGTGCTCCATCTAGAAAGGCCTAGAAAGTAAAAAGTAATGTGTCTCCAGGGCCCAGCACAAGGCTGCCTTTGTGTGAAGGTCAGATTCCAGTGCTCTGGGGCCCGGCTTCGAGCAGCTGCTCCTGGGAGTATAGCCAGTGGGGCAGCTCAGAGCTCAGCCTGGGGACCAGAGTTCAGGACCTCAAACTTTTGGGGAACTCAGAGAGACCTGGGAGCCTCTGAGGGCTCCAGAGTGAACCTCGATTCCTGTGTACAAGACTCCCAGAGCTCCTCAGAGGGGCTGCCAGGGTCCACAGTTAGATGGAAGGGAGGCAGGGGCTGGCCAGACCTGGAGGGGTGAGACCTGGGAGACCAGATTGCATAGCTATCTAGGTCCCCAAGACGCAGTGTGGCCAGTTAAGAGTTCCACCTTTTACCAGCTGTGTGACTCTGAGAAAATCACTAACCCTCTCTGAGCTCCGTTTCCTCTACCAAATGGGAATGATACATGTGCTTTTCTGCTGCTGATAGGGCAATAAAATGAAAGAATACAAGAAGTCCCTTAGCACAGGGCTTGGCTCTTATTCAGGGTGCAGCTGTGTGGGGAAGGAGGACTTTAAGCCCTCCTACTCCCACAAATCCCTCCTCCCCAGCAGTCTTTGATAGGGATAGTTGCCTTTTCTCAATCTTATCAAAAGCGCTTTGTGAAAGGGCAGCTTCAACCTCCTCCCAATCTGTGCCAGCCCCAATCCCCCTTCCTGTACAGCGACTAGAGCCCAGGGCTCCCAAGCTTCTGGGGAGTCAATAAGAAAGAGTCCAAGCTCCGCTCCAGGCCTGCCACACAGTGGACACTCCATCCACAAGGATCTGGAACTCACCCATGCTCTAGCGCAGAGGATCCCCGTGCACCCCCAGAGATGCCAGCGATGCAGGAGAGGGTGCTGGACAGAACATGGCCCCCGAGCCAGGCCTGTGGGAGCCCATGAAGCCTGCTCAACACTGCCCTGGGCAGCACCTGGGGTCCCCCGGGGGCCTCCGCTCTGGGCGCCTGCTGACAACCACAGTGCCTCCTCCACCCGTCCCAAACTGTCCCTTTCTCCTTGCCACCAGCGCTGGAAGCTGAACTCCCAAGGGCAGAGCACTCAGTCCAGACCTCTAAGCCTAGAGGGAGCTTGAGGTTCTGAGGACAGCTGGAGGTCCTTCTAACACAGGAGGCCACTCTGCCCTCCAGCTCCCGGAGAGCAGCCCTCCTTCCTCAGCCTCTCCCTGCTCTTTGCAGAGGACCTGTCTGCCCTCAGACTGGGGGTTCTTTGAGGGCAAGAAAGAAGATTGTCCATCCCAGTGTCCCTCACAGCCCAGCACACAGGATGGAGGATCCGGGGCACGCCCACCTCGGCCGTCCCTGCCAACTTCCCAAAGAAGTCCCGATACACTAGAGGAGCCTTGGCACCTCCCCTGCAGTTGCCCACCCAGTCCCTGCCTCTCCACCAAATCCAGGGCCTTCTCCATGTCCCCCCTCTGGCCCCTGGCTGCTCAGATGCTGCTACTCCAGCCCTGTCTGAGGGGACCCTCTCTGGGACTCCCTCCCCTGCTTGTTTAAAACCTGTCCACGCTGCGTGTCTGCCGCTGCACAGCTGCCAGATGACGGCCGTTCAGATGAAGCCACGGAGACCCGCAGGGCTGGGGATTATGTGTTTCTCCCTGGGGATGCCAGGTGCTTTTCAGGGGCTCCAAGGGACACGGAGCCTCCCCACACTGGCTCCCTTCCCGCCCCTGGAACTGCAGGAATGCCAGTGCCATCACTCACTCTCGGGCGTGCTGAGCTGCAGGGCTTTGCTGTGGCCCAGGGCCCTGGTGCCAACACCTGCTCTTTGAGCAACCCAGAGAAGGGATTCCAAGGCCTGGAGTGTCTGAGCCAGCTGGCGGGACTTGTCCCAGGTGGCTCAGCAAATCAACGAGATGTCTTGGAATCCTGGGAGGATGAACATGGGAGGCTCCCTGGACCCAGCTGGCCCTGTCCCTGGCCTCCCTCTGCTGCCTTTCAAACCATTCTCAGAAACGAGTTGGTCCTCTTCTTGGCCCAATCCCCTCCTTTATCTCTGAGGCGGGGGCGGGGCACGAGAGGAAAGACCCACCCCCACAGCTTACGCCAGATCCCTGCCAAGGCCACCCGAGACACTCGGTCTGGGGGCGGGGCAGCTGGTCTGGCGGCAGTGACCCTCCGTGCTGGGTACCTATGGTTTCCTTTAGGTTTTGTAACTTCCGTTGTTGCTACAATGTTGTGCCCCCGATAAAAATGCACAAAAGCTGTATTATTATCATTCTGATGACTCTTCAGAGTAAATAACTCTGCCTTCCTCAAGGCACAATTAACTGATGGTGAAGATCAAGAAAAGAACATTTGATGTTTCACGCCTCCAAAACAAACTTTTTTAGCCTGCAGCCATCTGCCTGCCTCTCACCCTGGTTAATCCCAAAACCCCAAGGCATTGTTTACCTGGGCTTCCTCCTGTCCTTCAGCCACCCTGTGCTGGAGATCCGAGTTCCCAAGGCCTGGCCCCCTATGGTGTCCTAGCTGTCTCCTTCCCAACTTTCTTGAAGAAAAAAATCTCCCACCCCCATTGCTTTCCATCACACCTGGCCCTGGTGGTGGCCGTGAGGGAGGGGGCTTGGTGGGGTCCCTGGGAGTGTGGAGAGTAGCAAGATCCCCAGCTGCTCCTCCCCGCAGTTCTGTGTGGTGGTCCCCCCCACCCCTCCAACACACCCAGTACGGTGTAGTTTCCCGCTCTGCCCCGCCCGCAGCCCCCAGCTGGCTTACCTGGAGTGTCCCACTGGGCCTTGGGTACCTTCTCTGGCACTGAAAACTCGAGAGCATGGTTCAGGGACTCTTTGGAGAGTGGCTGCCCGTCAGTCAGTGAGCTGGGTTGGTGGAGGGCCCTGGAAAAACATTCATTAGAACGTGGGGGACTGGCCTGGGCTTGGGGATTCTGGCCTGGTACAAATCTCAGCAACCTGAGGGGCCACTGGCATCTCTGTCTCCTGCACAGAGGAGGCCCCAGTGGGAGTCAGGGGACAAGACCTCAGTGGTTGTAGGGGCTGACCCTGCCCCCACCCAGCCTCCCTGCATGTTCTGAGGCCTCAGGAGAAAGAGGAGTCCGGCCCTGCTGTGTTCCATGTCACCATGTGACCCTGGGCAAGCTCATGCCTCTCTCGGGGTCTCAGCGTCCCCACCTGGATGAGGAAGGGGCTGAGGTCTGCACCGGAGGATTCTGAACCCCACTCTTGGAGAGGGCAGGCTTCAGGGGTGGGGGTGCCCCCACCTGTCACTCCCTGTACCCACCAGTCCGCAGCCATGCCCTGAAATTCTGAGTGGAGCTGCAGGTACTCCTAGGGCTCTCAGGGGTCCTATTCAGGCCCCCAGTGAGGGCCTCCCCTCTTCCATGCCCCTGTGGGTGCACCCCACGTCTGCCGTCTCCATGGAGAAGAGAGGCTTTCTAGCTTCACTCCTGGCCCAGATGCCCTCGTCTCCCAGGCTCGCTGACTTGGCTAAAGGGTCTCTCCCTCTGGCCAGCCCATGAGTTTCATGGGTTTCTGGGTTTTGATTATCATCTCTGCCTGACCGCCCTTTAGCACCACCTGGCCAGACCTCAACCTCCTAGGTGGCTGAGCTCATGGATTTCAGTACACACTTCAACACTGCACAGAGTTGCAGGGTGACACAACTCCAGAGACACATTTCATAGTCAACAACTACGTAAAGCCGAATCCACTGGAGTTGTGCAGCATGCAACCTGCGCAGCTGGTCAGTGTCCCTGAGGGCAGGACCGCGGCTCCGTGGACTCCTGTGTGTCTGTCAGTCAGGGTGGGGCTGGCGCATCCCCGCCCAGCTCCCAGGAAGCCGGGTCAATTACCTGCTTCTCACACACCGCCTCACTCCTTGTCGGTACTGCAGGTTCCGAACAAAACTAAGTTTGTGAACACAGCCAGGCCCACCTGGCGGCAGTCTGTTTAAGAACCTGAGATGGATTTTAAAGCGAAAGATATCAGAAGGTTATGAAGGGAGGGGCACGGGGAGGAGGGGGATGACTGGGGAACCGAAATGGCGCTGTTCTTGGGAAATCTGTGAGCCAGGCCTGGGCCACCGGGCTGGAGCAGCCCTTCCATTGCTGTGGCGACCCGCTCCAGGGAGGTTGGAGAAAAACTGGAGAGATGGCAAAGCAGGCTTCTGGGGCGAGGCCTCCTGCGCTGGGCAGACAGAGGCGCCTGAACGCGGCGGAACACATCCTACTGACTTTGGATCCTTGGTTAGGGCTCTCTGGGACAGGCAGGTAGAAGCAGCTTCCGCTTGGGGCTGCAGTGTTACCAAACGGCCCCTGAGCTCTGGGTTCAGGCAGTGATGACAAACGAGGGTCACGCGCGCAGCTAGGCTCAGGGGCCTGCCCCGTGATCATCTGGGGAAGACTGTGAACTTGGTGGATGCCCCTGCCGCATCTCGGCCTGTGTCCTCAGAAGACCGTAGACAGCAGGGTGGACAGCACCCCAGGTTAGAGTTAGCAGCTCTCATCCACCTCTGAGATCACCAGCCGGGCGGCCATCTCCACGTTAGCCAGGCAGGAGACTGTCCTTGGCTGTCATCTCCCACCATCTGCACTGCGTCCTCACAAACGTGCTTTTAAATCCTTATTAAAAGGTACCGGCAGCATTTCTGTCCCCACAATAAAATGAGTGTAAACACGTTCTGGTTTTAAAATAACTACACAAAGACTAAATGAATAGACAGTCACAGAAGGAAGCCAAGGGTGAAGCGTACTCGTGATTAGAACCTTCTATTTGCAGGGAGGGTGAGCCTGCCGGAATCACCTTCTCGCTGTGGGTGTGTGCCTTTTCCTGGAGGGCCAGTACCCAGTGCCAGATTCCTTGCTGCTCAGACACTGATCTTGTGCAGCAATCGTTCAGTGAGAGGGTGGCCCCTGGCCCTCTCCAGCATCTGTTTAACGAGAATACCTTTCTGCTCCCTGCAGCTGGCCCAAGGCGCTTCTTCAACTCTCTACATCCTATGCTTACAGAATTTGGGGTGCATGATTAAGAGAATATCAAAACCTAATTTTCCAAATGAATTAAGCTTGATCTTTTCCTTACTAGGGGCTTTGAGAGGCAGTTCCTTAGGAGATGTCATTTGAAATATAGAATGTGCCAAGCCCCCAGTAGCTTTTTCCTGCTCACTCAGGGTTATAACTAGCAACAGGCTTTCCTGACCTGACTTGTCACACAGAAGCAAGTGGAACTGCTGGGGCCACATACCTCTGCTGTCCGTGACTGCTGTCTCACACTTGCTGTTGGTAATGGTTGTTTTTCAGTTTTTATTTTCTAAGTATGTATGTATTTTTGAGACGGAGTCTCGCACTCTCGTCCGGCTGGAGTGCAAGGGTGCGATCTCAGCTCACTGCAACCTCCGCCTCCCAGGTTCACGTGATTCTCCTGCCTCACCCTCCCGAGTAGCTGGGATTACAGGCGCCTGCCACCACACCCAGCTAATTTTTTTGTATTTTTAGTAGAGACGGGGTTTCACTATGTTGGCCAGACTGGTCTCGAACTTCTGACCTCGTGATCTGCCTGCCTCGGTCTCCCAAAGTGCTGGAATTACAGGTGTGTGCCACCATGCCTAGCTGTATTTACTGTGTTTTTATTTATATATTGCAGACAGGGTCTTGCTCTGTCGCCCAAGCTGGAGTGCAGGGGTACAATCACCACTCACTGCAACCTCCAAGGCTCAGCAATCCTCCCCTCTCAGATTCCCGAGTAGCTGGGACTACAGGCTCACACCACCAAACCTGGATAATTTTTATATTTTTTGTAGAGACAAGGTCTTGTTATGTTGCCACAGCTGATCTCCAACTCCTGGGCTCAAGCGATCCTCCCGCCTTGGCCTCCCAAAGTACTGGGATCGCAGTCAGGGTGGTCGGCCATTTTTCAGTTTATAATCCTCTCCTATGTGACTAGCCGTCGAAGTCTGCTGCTGAAAGTCTTGCTACTTTCAGTGTGCTGGCTTCTAGCCACTCATCTCGCTCCTACATTATCATTTCTTTTTGTAACAGAGTAGAAAACAAAACAGCCAAGCTCGTTAGAACTGTAGGTTACACTGGGGGACATGTTCCACGATGGACCTATCACGTGTTCCTTGAAGAAAACTGGGGAGCCCCCCTACTCTGTTTGATTCCTCAAAAGCGTTTCAGGCCCTTCTCCTGACTCTTGCTGCTATTCTAGGAAGGACAGGTGGCCACAGCTGATCTACAGGTGAGTGGACGCTGCTGTCGTGGTGTTCATCACGAGCGCCCCGAAGGTGACTAACAAGTTATTCCCATCATTCTGGAAAATTATACTCCTCCTGGAAGGCAGCACTCCAGAGGCTGGCAGAAGTCACCTAACATGATCGAATGACAATAATGGTGGGAGAATAGCCTGAGGAGGCTGACTGGCTTCTGTCTGCATTTTGAATTCCCAGGAGGAAGAGGAGCCTACAAGGACGGCCCTCTTTCACCCAGATGAGGACAAGGAATCGTTTTCTGCCCTCAGCTCACATAAGCATACTTGAAACTTATTGCCTTGCTCTCCTTTCACAGAAAACAAACAAAAAACTTTATCAGCACCTACCCAGCAGCATGGGAGCAACAAAGCAAAGGGCGTGTTTGGGCAAATATGAGGTAAGATGTGTGTGAGGGTGCAGAGGAGCCTGGGAGCGTCTGCACTACGCCTTTCTCTTGGTGGATTGGTGTCTCCTTACTCCTTCTACCTTGCCAGAGGAGCTGATGGGGACCATTTGAACACAGAGCCTCCCAAGCCTCCTTCAACTCCTCCTCCAGGAAGCCCTCCTAGATTTCCCCAACACCTTCTCACCCCTATGGCCCTTGGACACTCAGGTTTGGGCTCTGACAGTCACACATGGCTTGAGAGCTGGGGCCACTTCTGATTCAGCTCTGTTCTCTCCCCGTGAGTACTCACTGTTGGAGCTCAGTATGTGTTGATTGGACCTAACCCTTCTCAAGTTGTCACTATGTGTGTGACACATAAATCGAGGAGGACCCTCATTTCCCAGGTGAATGCTTCGCGGATGAGGATCCATTTCCTATTTATTTCTGTTGCCCTTTCTTCTCACTCAGCCTTCAGCAACCAGACCACTCTCATGTATGCAGTAGGTACTCCATGAATGCTTTCTTGAAACAGGATAGCATCAAAGTTCACCAGTCTGTCTGCCTGCTTGGGCTCAGCTCACTTTACTAGCTGCGTTACCATGGCCAAGTCACGGTTCCTCTCTGGCCCTCAGTTTTCTGCCTGTATCGTGTGGCTATCGCAAAGAGAAGGCGATATAGGAGAAGTGCTTAGTACATACTCAGCTCTCATCGTTATTACCCATGGGCTTTCACGGAGCTTTTGGGGAGCAAGAAGAAAAAGATAATTTGGCAAGATTGAGAGGGTGACCAACAGAATAAAACACCCCAAACCCAAGTCTGGGGGTCCAGGTTCCCTGCCAACTACTTTCCCTGGGAGACTGACTGGGGGCTGGGAGGTGGGAGACGGTGGGCTCCTTGTTCCTTACTCGGTCCTCAAGATGGAGCTGGCAGACCTGAGCAGGAGCACCTCTGGCATGGTGCCTGGGGGGAGGCTGCAATCTGTGTGAGCTTGCCCGGGAGAGAGCCAGAACCTCAGAGAACGTGTCACGGAGTCCCCCCGGGAGAGTCACAGCAGCTTCAGAGAGGCCCAGCTCCGCCGGACCGCCCTGCAACAGAGATACAGCGTGAGTCACCGCTGGCAGCCTGGCTGGGTGAGGGGACACCTGCCCTCCTTCCTAGGCATGACTCATCTGTTCCTGGGGTGGGACACCCAACTGTAATTTACGGCCTCCTAAGCCCACGCCCTCAAATTCAATGGAGAACAACACA